AATATAACCAATACTTCTGCTCGAAGCCAGAATTAGTGATTACTTGAGACCCGAAGTGAAGAAGATAAATCTCTCACAAGACAGCATCCACACGATATTTGGAAAGACTGTGAATATGATCGCTTGGCTTACATCTATAAGCATTCTGATAATCATTCTACGCTGATACGGCTAACATCTCTCTGCCGTTCTTCTTGGTAGCTTCCAAGTAATTGTCCTGGCTTTTTCATTTATGAATCTTGGGGTCGTTTTATGCCCTGTCTATATATTTGTCGCATGTACCATCGGGCTGAGAGTATCATGTCGGAGGACGCGGACGCCGTTTCAAGAATATCTGACCCTTTTACCATAGAATCACTTAGGGATAGAGTTATAAGTGGGCTCCAGCAGCCACCCGTATAACAAGCTTACTCTTGTCGAAGGAAGACGTAATGTTATATTATTTTATAATATTGTTATATATAACAAGATGGGAGAAAAAAACCTATCCGCGATGCACAAAGAAGTCATCGGTATTCAATAAAATAATTATTTCTATATATTGGTAGAGCAAATGCATGAACCGACTACTCACTAATAATTTTTTAATAGAAAAGGAATTTTCTGGGGCTTAACAAATCTTAATCCATTAAAGTTAAATCATTTATAATGAATTTTAGCTGAAATTTCCTACAATATGAATGAATGAATGAAGAAAAGAAACAAACCATAGTAGTGACTTTGCCACCAACAGAGTTCACTGCATTTTCACATCGCATTCCTTCTTCATCGTCTTTATTTCTATTTATTTTATTAGGAATTGAGGCTCATAGCTTCCTAGAAGTATTCCATATGTTTGCCAAAGGTTTCAGAAAAAAATGAAAACCCCTGGCCTAAGTTATATTGCATAATCAAGCGAAATATTTAAACATGTTTAAACTATAAAAGTGAATTAATGAATAGAATTAAATAAATTATAAAATGATATGTCCAACTTTTTGCTTACATCCATGATCCATCTATTTATAATTCATTAAGCACTTTAATACTTTCCAGAATTGTTACGCAGTCGATCTATATAAATCTCTACCGACACAATTTTCCTAATCCATGCGATTATATGTTTACAAAAACCGATTGCTTTTACCTTCGTGGAGTAATTACTCTGTCTATTTATGTAAATTCATTATCGATAGCTTCCCTTGTGTTAGAGAGAACAATTGCAGTACTTTTTCCATTTCGACATGATCAATTTGGCAAAAAAGTTTCAGTATTTTTTCTCTTTTTTGAGGTTAATTTTTTTAAAATAAAATTTCAGTCGCACACATTTTCGGTTCAATCGATCAAAATTTTGAATCAACTTTACTCTTTGAAGATTTTCATGTAAAAATCAAATCAATTTTCCAGTGATCATAACAACATTGTATATTTTAGCTCTATTAACCTTTCTTTTTCTATGGCTGGCGCGCTATTAGCTGTTGTGATGAGATCCCTTCGTCACAGCGTGGTTACAGCGCTCGACTTCATGGCTTCATGACTTGTTTTCACCAGGAGAATCTGATAGCTTGATCGAAATGACCGAAATAGTATACCACTCGATCATTTTTTCCATGGAAGTGATTGGCTTTTGCTCCTCTATTACTATGCAACTACCCTAAACTGTTTCTTCGTCATTCATATTTGTCCTCTTACTTTTTTAATATTTTTTGATTTCAGTTGTTAAATGAAACACTGAATTGAAATATTTGCAGTTTTTTTTCGGTTCGCTGATGCTATTTATTATTATGATGAATAATGCATTTGGCAAAGAGCGAATATTTTATTGCTCATCGTGGAGGGGCAGCAATCAACTGAAAATTGCGATCGTAATAAGTTTATTAGTAGTCATAAACTTTGTACCAGCTTTATACGTACCAATTTTACTGAAATTCAGTCAGGTAAGTTGCATAATAAAATTTGCAATTTATACGATTTTTTTCTAATTAAAATTATTTTAAGAATATTCATTTTCACATAGAGCCGTCGGTAATCAATTTAGGCAATAAATAATAGAAATGGGTTCCCAGCACCACCCGGATTTCACTTTTAATGACATGATTTATTCCCACCAAGCAGTGATCGAACTTACTTGGTCTCATGGTTGCATTGTCTTTTATACTGGAATTTTTCTCAATAAAAAAAGTTAAGAAGTTAAGGTTTATATAACCTTTTTCAAAAAAAGGTATAAATAAATAATACTATAGTGTAATATACAAATCAAATCTGGCTTACTACAAATTTACCATTAATTTTTGCAGCATTCACTGGAGAGAAACTTAGGAAAGAATCTTTCGCGTAGATACCAACTGCATAAAAATGTTTCATCGATAAAAATGCTATTACCATTGATATATTTTCAAATTATAACATCTTTATTATTCATCAGTACTTATTTGCTACATTTTATAACTGGAAAACTTCAATTATCAGCAAAAGTTTTTCCATATCTTCTAGAAGGTTTGCCCTGAATAAAGATTTATAAAATCCAGCTCTAGTTTTACACTTTTTTAATATCACTCACCATTTCTGGTTAGATTGCTGCGCTGATTATTTGAAAGAGGCAGTTTTTCTAGCGAGTAAGTTTGGAGATAGAAATATAGGTGGCGTAAGTGGTCCACAGCACAGGCATCCAGGTTTTTCAATAGTTTGTTTTTCTCAACTTATCATTACGCTGGATCACGATATCGAAAGTGGCAAACATTTTATTAGTTTTTTGATTAAAAAATTAATAATTCATCATCCTAGCAACAAGTCATTAATCATTAAGAAGTCCAATTTTTGAATTTTTAAAATAATATGATGAAAAAGGTGAATAAATTTTTCAGCTGGTCAGCTTTCTCCCATTTACGCATTTTGCTTGCCATTTGTTTTATATTATATGCAAAGACGTATAAAAAAAGCTCAGTTATCAATGTTCACTCAGTCAATAAATATCAATCAATCTCCGAATGAAATGGCAACCCATTACTTTGTAAGTTACTTCAACTAAATTCGAGAGCTTATTCAATTTTTCGCTTAATGATTTTATTACTTGTTTTATGCGAATCGTAATGAATAATTTTCAGAAAAACTTATTTTCTCATAAATAAATTCCTGCGATCTATAAAGAAAGGCATGAAAAAAGAATTATCAAATATTCATTTAAGCAGAAAATCCAGCAATATGTAGCAAGTAAAAAGTAATTATTGTGCATCTGTTACTGTTGAAATTAAGAAAAATTAATTTATTGTGGAACCGTAATAATTTTTCTTACTTCTTTCATGATTCTAATGGTTTCCATTTTCCATCTGAAAAATTTGTTTAATAGAATTTTTCATGATTGTAAATGTTTAATAGGTTTTATAAGCTGTCAATTTAATAATATGCTTAAATAAATAAATGCAAAAGACTTTTAGTACCTTCCAGAGCTCGCTATAACCCCAGTCATCCTCCCGTAGCACCATTTTCAAACTCTTGTATTTATTACTCCAGTAAACCCTGATTTTCTCTTTTTTTTGTGATTTATACATTTTTATCGTTTGTTGAAGGTTCATTTATTCCTACTGTAATAAAATATAAGTAATATTACGATCATTTGTGTAAAGACGTTTAATTTTTTCAGTAATGTGGTTATGACTGTGCTCCTTAAGGTAAAAATTTTTAGTTTCAACAATTTTTATCTGATTATTCATTTTTATTACTTTTTATTACTCTCTACTATTGAACCATAGTGCTAATGCTTAGTTAGTTTTATTCAAAGTCAATTCATTAAAATACTACAGGCTGAAATGGAGCAGAGTTAAATTTTGCTTTAGGCAAATATCGATGTTTTCATCCCTGTATGGGGTTAAACCTTACAGTCACCAGACACCAATGTATTCTTTGATCATTAGATGGAAAATATGCATTGAATTTATCAAGAATTGACTTATAGAATATTATCAATTATTTTTATATCCTGGCAAACCCAAAAAAAATCGAACCATAATGCAGCCTCACTGCCTTTGCACTCTTTTCTACGTGTATTTTTATACCATCTGATTTGTCTGTCCTTACTGTACTAAGTTAAATAAATAAGTTTATTGTGCTAAATAATTACCAATTTCATATTTGTTTGTTTAATATTTTATTTCTTTAAATTTGAAGAGATTGAGTCTTCAAACATTCATCATAATGAATTTGATACAATGGCATTAGCAATGATTTTACCAAAATTTTACCAAAATTAACAAGCAATGATTGATTAACAGTATTATCATAAGTGATGGTTAAGTAATTATTAATCTTACTTTATAACTTTACTTATTCTAAAAAAAACCAAATTATCCCACGAAAATTTAAGTATTTTTAGCTTACGGAAATTAACGACTTTAAAGACAGTTAGGCAAAACAAATATAAAGGAGTAAACGTTCCTTTTCAAAATTTTCAAAGAAATTGTCAATAAAAACTGAAAAAAAATGTTATAAAACGGCATTAAAGAAAGCAACATCAACGCATCATTTGGAAAATATGAAATTATCTTTTCCTTAATAAAATATTTGACTAATGAAATCAAATAATAGTCAGTTTAACAAGAAGCCTTAACAATTATTCTTTTCGTACTAATTTTTTTTTCAAAGAATATAATGAAAGTAGAAAGTTCATGAAGCTAAGAAAGGAAATTCAACGACAACTAGGATAATCACTATTATTTATCATAGCATTTATCCAACTCGGACGGCTGCTATAATAATACATATCTGGTGGATTAGCACCAAAGGCACGCGATTGGATTGTCATTTTCGATTGCGGTAATGTTCTATAAATTAAATGAAAATATACTTTTTTCTCGGTTTCTCTATTATTTTTCTTATTATTGATTATTAATTATCAATTAATTATTATTCTTACTAATTATAATTAGAATTTACTATCCAGAATTTATTATATCAATAGTGTCTTACACAATTTTCATATTAATTTAGATCAGTTATCTTGGAAATTTAATGATTTTTACGATAGGCTATACGAAGAGAAATTTTTTTAAAATTTTGTTCAATGAGTTTATGGACCTGAATAAATCATAACTTTTGTCCTTCTTTTTGTTCAACCAGATATTGCGCATAATTAAACAGAGCGCTGCCATGAATATAAACAACGCTGTGGACAAACCAATGATAAGAAAAAATATGGATTTAGGAATCGATGATTTCTGTATTGCGCACTGTTCGATCGATCTTCCATTAACTGCAATTTAAGAGGCAATTTATCTGTTTCTTAATTAGTTTTATTCATCTAATAATATTTATCATTTCTGCTTTAGCTGGTCCCACTGGCAACATAAAATCCTTTTGCCGGACGATCACCTGGATAAGAGCACAAATGGATCCTGACTCCACCCAGATTTCACGTTAAATGACAAGTTTACTTCCCATATTCAGCAAGAATCAATGATTTCATGGCTTGAGCTTAGCTGAGGAAACAAAACCTTTATCTGTATTTGATAAAAGCAATTAGAACAACAAAAAAAGGTTATTGTACGGCTATTATCACTATCATTACCTTCAATAGTTTCTGAATCATCCAAAATTGTTAAAGGCTTAGTAATGGCGACTTCATTAACGAGATCATTCTTATCAAATAATACAGTGTCCTGTGATCTTCTATGCCGGAAGCGGAGTCGTTCTGCTGTTAAATTTGAATTTGATACACGTTTAAAGCATTTCTATAATGATAAACTTATGTTAACCTCACAAAGTATCGATACAATAAGTAAGGAATTTTCCTTCTAATTACCTGCATACATTCCTCACTTGTTAAACAGACTTGTACGGTACAATGTGCGAATACTGTTGATTGATTCCCAAAACGAAATGTTTTGAATTTCGAAAAATATACTTCTTCATTAACATTAGATAGGGGATCAATTATTTCACTCATTTCATTTACAGGACAGCTGGAAAGCAGATAATTTTAATTGCCAATATTTTATTCATTACTAATTTAAGGCATGCCTGATTGTTGATAATGCCTTTGTAGAGTTCATTATTATGACTGTTCTAGTTGGAGTCTTCCAGAAGGCAACTATGATTCATTAGTTGTTCTCATCTTTCTGTGCGACTAATTCGACCGACTATTCAGTGCGCTTATAGTGTGTTGACTTAATAGAATCGTTAAATATCTTTAAATTTGGCTTAAAACTGTTTATTTTCTATTTTTTAAAATGAACTATTACTTGCTCTGAACGAATGTTAAATGCCTAGCTTCTGGTGCAGACATATCTTCACGATCAGAAAACATGCATTCCTTCGGACTGATTCCATGATAAGCTTCTAAAAATATTCGATAATTAAAATACTAATTAATCGAATGTTATTCTTTCGTCTAATTCGATGAATTTGATAAATAATTGATAAATCTAAAGAATGTGTAGATGGATGTACTTACTGTCTGGTGATAACGCAACATAAAATTCGACAATATCTCCGAATTTAGCGGCACGCAGAGGTCGTCCATCGATACTTCTAAATATCATGTCCACTTTTGGTTTGGGCTTGCCACCGATTGAAGCAACCACTTGATGACCACTGTAATATGTAATAATTGGTAAAAATTACAAATTGAAATTTCAAGAATATTGAGTTGAGTTAAGCAAGTGAAAGATTGGACGATATTCTAGAAGATGTGCCAAAAAAAACCTAGAAATGTCATTAAATCGGATGGTTCGTACGCTTCTTGTATAGAGACAAAAAACATGATTGACTCGAATTATTTTTGATGGGCTTAAGTCGGCATTGTCTTCGAGTGCAATCGTAGTCTCAGCATTGCGATAATTTGGTTCCTGAATGATCAGTTGAATTAGCAGTGGTCGGTGATACATTTATTTAAAAAATATGGAATCTTGGAGTTTAATAAAAAATTTTATGTTGCAATGAATTCACAATTATTTTGCTTTCGATCTTGTCATTAGTGATTGAATTTTTTTTTAGAAAAGTTTGGCTGTGGTTCAGGTCATAGTGGTCAGAGACAAAGTAGTTTCGAGTAATATTCGAGCTTTTACTACTCTTTTTAAAAGTTTCATTCAAATTATATTTAAAAAGTACCAAGTCAGTTAAAATAACATCGCAGTGTTTCCCATATGGTATTGTGAAGTTATAATTGACTAAATTGCCCTTTTTCATCGCTGTACCACAAGGAGCACGATCTTTATGCTCCTGGACATAGACAACAGGTTGAGCCCTCGGATTCGTCATCCATTTTTGTATATCTGGATCTGATTTGTTCATAACTACGTTTATCGCATCTGCTGTGCACGATACTTCTTCAACTAAATCAATTCTAGGATACAGATGTGGTGTCATTCTTTCTTTTATCAGAGCTTGATTTTTTCCTCAAAAAAAATTCTAATGCTTTGACCAATTCCTTGATGGTTTTGACCAATTCTTACTTTTAAAAAAATATTTTACCGAAATTTACCGAAACAAAAATTCAAATTCAATTCAACAGAAGCTTACCAAATCCGGCAGTGGAAGCCAATTCAGCGCATAACGGTGATAATAAAATGAATATAAGAGTCAACATTGTATGAGAATTCAAATCTAAACATTCTTCGAAATCAATGGCAGAAACAAAATTTCAAACTATTATGCATATACATATATAATTTTCACAAAAACAGCGTTGTATACGATAGGCAATTAAAGCGGGTTGCTAAGCACGAATGGTCATTTATTTGGCAATGCTTGCTTGCTCCATTAGCCATTATTCATATTACTGCGAATTCGATTGCAATCGATTTTGAAACAAATTGTAAAAATTAATTAAGAAAAAAATTATACATTATATTGAAAAAATTTATATTGAAAAAAATCTGGCAAAATTCTCTTTTTTAAAGAAAGTTTGAATGAATGCTTCGATCAAACTTCTTCGGAATACAAGCAATGTCAATAATTAAATTAGTAGCTGAAAGACGAAATCTTCAAGTAACTGAGAAATAAATTCACATTCAAATAAATTCAAATGGATGATTATTAGTTAAAATGGTTTGAAATAGTAAAAGCACAAATAAGAATATATAAATAATACTAAAACAACTTTTTTTTAAAATTTATTATTTAGCAAAAAGATGTTAAAAAGCATTTATAGAAGTATTTAGTTCATTTATAGAAGTATTTTTTACAGCTTCGTTAAATTTTAATTCACTGTGAGGATTTCTGAAGCGGGGAAGCGTTATACGCTTAAGCATGAGCACTCATTGTTTCTATAAATTTTTTTGCTCGTTTTTACCTTTCATAATTGAGGAATTTATTGAGAAAATACAAGTATATATAAGGAAATTTTTAAAAATTTAAAAAAGGGAAAAATTTAAAAAATCGTGAATTTTGAAGATTTTTAATTAACCGAAATTAAAAACTAAATCGTTAAATGACTTGAAAATATGAAGATAAGTAGATTTAAGAAAAAGCATTCAGGGAAACTGCAAATTGCGAGCATTCGCTGGGAATTACTCTTGGAAATATGAGTATTCGATTTATAATTGAATGGCTTATTTTAATGCGATCTATATGCAGTTTTCCGATCAAAAGTTCTCTCTAAAACAGTGTAATTAATTATGAATTATGATTGGAAATCACCGCATTTTAATTATTGAGTAGACAAAGAGTTTCCGAGAAGTATATTTTCTCATTAATATCCTACCACCTGTCACTTTTTTTTGACTTTTCTTCCATTTTATCTCGCAGCAGCCATATTTCTTTATGAAAAAATCCAGGTTCCAATCTCTGTAGGACAAACAGCAAAAAAATGGAAAGAAATAGCATCATGCTAGAAATGCGTCTACTTATGTTCTTAAATGTCCCTCAAATACATGTATATATATATCTACATCTATGTATATATATATATATATCTATATATATATATTCCCTCAAAAATAGCAAAAATTCAGTCTTGTGTCGTCTTATGAGAATAAAAATAAAAATAAACAAATCTTGGTGATAAGTCAAAATAAGGATACTTCAGACATTTAGAGATTAATAGAAAATATAATAAAATCAATTGCTTCTTCGAAATATTTGGATAATGGAATCTTTGGTAGCAGATACTTTAAAATCATGTTTTTCAAAGAGAATTCTTTTTAATTGATCCAAAAATTTAAATCTAGCTTTAAGTGATAAGTGATAACATGGATTAAAATGATATGATATCAAATAATGATATTAAAGGAGAAAGCGCTTGTTCTAGATATACTAGCAGATTTGTTAAAGAAATCCAGAAAAATCCAATCTGGTTGAATGCAGAAAGGTTTAATGACAAAGCGATAAAATAAAAAGACAACGGTCAAGCGGACACACCTGTCCTTGCAAATAACAATATGAATAATTTTCAGATATTAAATTAATACACCACAATGGGTTATCTCGGTTCATAAGTCTTTTCATGTACTGCAACTTTACTATAGCGATATTTATTAACATAATAATTCAAAATATTATTATCCATATTCATTATTAAAATAGCCCTTAATTTTTATTGAATTAGAACTTCCTTTTACAATATTTACATAATCCTTTATGTAATTTAGGTCATGTCCTGAAGTAGCTCTAAATAACAATATCAATAACAATATGTAGATTAGTAATTCAAGGTCAGATTGGCTTACCACTTTAGCCATAAGGTAATAACAGTGGCATTTAATTAATGCTGGGTATATTCATTCAATTATTCCTTGGTTTAATAAAAAAACTTATAATCCAGAATTACGCTACATAATTTTTATAAGTCCACATTTTGACATCATTATAATGTATTTTTTTATTTATAAGTACTCGCCATGTCTGGTTATTGTCGTTACGCTTGTCGGACCAGATAAATTTTGCGAGGAATCATTAGCCACTTGGCTAAAAATAGAGGTGAATCCAGAATCGCCTGGCTTTTTGAAGGACAGTTTTATTCCCGCAAGGAGCAGAATCCAGCATCTATGCTCCAAAATAAGAGTAACACCCCAATGAGTCATTAAAATGCATTGCAAAATAATTCTGATAGAATCCACAATAAAGTATATTGATGATATTTGTAAATATTACTATATATGATAAATGATATAGGGATAAAATGGCTTAATAAGCTGTTGCTCAACTCGGAGTGCCGATGCTGAGGTTCAATTCCGCAGGAAAACTTGTAATGCTGGCGACTCACCTGTATTTCTATCGTCAAGGGACTCCCTGGCTTACTGTCCAATGCGGCTAGAGCGAGTCTAACCAGTAATAGTGATGATTCTTTGAAAAAAATGATATATGACATGCATTGTATATGATATGCATTCTGTATATAAAAAAATTTAAAACTTAGTTTAAAATATTGTAATGTATTACTTATAAGAAATAAAAGCATGCCATAGCGAAAAATAAATAAATAAGAGAAATGCTTAGTTTCACAGTTTTTTGACACGGTTGCAACAGCTGATTAGTGGTATAACAGTGACTATAATTAGAGTTTTCCTGTAATAATCCAAATATTCAGTTTTTCGATTTTTTGTAACAAGTGGTATAATTAATCATTATAATAAGGGTGCAGAATGATTGAGTGGTTGCTTCTACTGAGGTTCAAATATCATAGGTTTTATTTGTGCACCTTAATGTGAATAAATTTGGCATTAAAAGTAAAATCTGATTGCTAGAAAGCCGATCGCATAACTATTCACAAGTGATTGAGACTTCCATCCTGATAATAAGGAACTAGCCAAACCCTAAAAGGTGAATGCTGTTAATAGCAGTAATAACACTAATGAATAAATCTCTCGAATATTTTACAGAAAATTTATACCATTCCATTATTTTTTCCAGTGACTCTAATTTTTTAATTTAAATTATCGAATTTCTTTTTCTTTTCAAAATTACGAAATTCCAATAAAAAATATTTATTTACAAGTTTTTTTAATACAGCTTTTTCAGCAGGGAAACATATAACCTATAGCTTAATTTCACTGATACTGCTATCATCAAAATTCATCGTATTGTTGACCGCACTTGATGTTAATGTGATTAAATGGTTTTCAGATTTTCTGCAATCAGCTGGTACATTCAAGAGTGACGCATTTGTTGCTTCCAGATTGTTTCCCAAATGCAATCGAGGTTCTACAAGAGAATCACATTCGAAAAACATTGATTTTGTGAAACCTACAATTATGAACCATTGATTTCGCAGTAGACTTTTAAATTTACAATAAAAATTTTTACAAAAATGTTATTTTCCATCCGTAAAAAATTCGATTTCTAAAATCCAAAAATTTAAAATCATGTTTGAAAAAATAGATAGAAACTTTCCACAAGTCCATTGTAAGATCAGTCTAATAATTGAACAAAATGACCAAAAATGCAATTATTGTTATTATTGTTGCATAAAATGATACACGTGCCTGGAGGCTGAAGCAGCGTAACTTTGTGATAACTATTGTTTAGGTCATTAAAAAGATTGGAAGGTGAGCTAGCACACCTCCGATTGGTTATACAAGGATTACGATGACAGTGCTTTGAAAATTGCAACTAAAAAATTTTTTCGTAATTATTTTTCCATGAAATTAAATTAACAAATTCTTGAAATATCTACAGTTTTGGTCGTGATATGTTAATTTATGGAATATAAATGGCGTGATCCTTGATGCGGTGGATTATAATTTAAAAATGAGGGCTGAAATTATTATAAGCTATATAAAAATAGAATCTGAACAAGTACCCATTACATAGCGATATATGGGCCTAAGGTAATGCAATGGTTGTTATACCCGGAGTGCCGATGCTAAAGTTCTATATCGCTATATGATGGGTTCTATTCTTATAGAAATAAATTTGTCTTTAAAAATCAAGGTAGTGCAAATCATCAATGCTTCTATCGCCAAATGATTGGCAAAATTTGTCTGGTCTGATAAGCTCGCCAAGCCTAATCAAATATGGTAAGAAAAGAAATGCAAACCTAGACGAGGAAGCACATCGAGTGGCTTGGAAATATGTTATTCAGCCTAACAGCCTAACCAGTAAATTTATAAATCCAGCTAAGAAGAAATTTAAAACGTGGAAACTGAACCGATCAACTTTATTTCTAAATTTAAAAAATGTTTTCCATTAAAATTAACCTGGCGGTTGAGTAGGCCATATAAAATGAAATTTGATGCAGAGTTAACATATGGAAGTGCATGAACACCGTACATGAGATAAATAAACGATGGATCGGGCATTTCGATGTCAAAAGGTTGAAAAATCTCCAAATAAAGTGAATACATAACTGATATCCAATATGGCGTCCTGAATTGCTTTTTTTCATGGAACCATTGTAAATAAAATTGGATCACTTCATACGCATATAAAATTATAAAATTCATTTGTCATTACCGGATGTAAAAAGGAGAAAAATTTTTTTGCTTGAAAACTGCAAATTAGAAAGGAATGGAGTCAGTAATTTTAGAAACATCTTACTTACCAACAGATAAAATGAATTAAACATATGATAAGGGTATACGAAGCAATTCGACCAAGTGGAATGGCGTCATTCGCCACTGATTTATTTCGTCGCGAAACCATTAAAAATTTGCTCGTAGAACGACGCTGTTCGTAAAGTTTCATCAACATTTCGCAATAAAAGTAGATCATCAGCAATAGTGGGACGAGATAAACCTGACATCAATCTGCTAATGGTGGTAAGTTGGAACTTGATTAAAATCATTACCGTTTAGCCGTTTTATTATGATAACAAATGACAAATTATGATAAATTTTAGCAAAAGTTAAGAATAAGAATAATTATGAATAAAGCTGAGTACATTTGGATCAACTCATACAACCGAATTAGAAGATTCTATTATTACTTCGGGGAAATTAATTATGAAAATCGAAACCATAAATTAAATTGGCTAACAAATGAAAAACATGTCAATGTGAATATAATGAAAAGTTCGCGACTGAGATCATCGACACATTTAAAAAGATGAAGGCGAGTAAGTTCATTCGTCGCTGGATTAAATTTTTCATCAATTATTATTTCCTGGAATGTTTGTTGTAAGCAGTACAGCGAAGAAAATGAAAGCAATTAGTGATATAAAAATTACCAACTTAGAGTGGACCATCGAGCTTCGATTCATGTCAAGCTATCATAACAATCCTTTTTGGCAGAAGCAAAAATGTAAAGTGAAATATGGACAACTTTCTCACAAGAAAAGCTTTATCCTCTCAAACAATTAGCCAAACCAGAGATGCTCTTAGACATAAAGACCGTCCTTTGATGTCCTTGATAAATGATGCAGAAAAACGTGGACAAAATAATTATTGATAATGATGTAAACAAATTGCACATATAATTTAATAGTTGTTAAATCTTACAATGATTTCTTTTGGTGATATTTCTCCTCTTTTAGCTTTTAACATATGCTAAAATCAGGAAAAAGAGGGAAACTAATACAGAAAAATTGATATACCTTCGATTGAGCGGATATTAATATGGGACAAAGCATGATGCATGTCAAGCAAAATGCAAACGATAGTATTATATATGCAGTCTTTTGATCACGTAAATAGATCTATAAAAAAAAATTTTGCATTATTATTTCATCAAATCCAAATTTGCCCCACTATTCCATTTGATTTGTTGTATAAAAGCAATAATTGAAATAATTGAAGGTTGGTGGCATGAGGCTTTGAATTTATAGAAAAGAAGATATAACAAACTTTGTGGTTCTACAGCCTTTGAGGAAACTTATGGAACATAATACTAACCTTTGTTGGATGACATACTGCGCAATACCTATCGATACTAAAGCAAACAAGAATAAAAGTACTGAAAATCTTTCCAATATGTTCAAATAAACGAAATAACTTGCAAGCAAATGTCCCAAACATCCAAAAACCTAATACCTGGAAAAATCATTCTAGAAATTATTAAAATTAGCGTGTTTTTGCTGGAAAAATGAAAATCTATTAAAGAATCTATTAAAGAATTTTAAAAATTCTCAAGAAATTTTAATTTGCTTCTTTTTTGTTTGTCGATCATTATTTCTTCCTACGAACAAATTATTATTAAGCAAGTCATTTGTAATTGGAATTTTTTTCAAATATTCGCTCTACGATTGCGGGCATTCTTTCGTTTTCCTACTGTATCAATATCATGACATAAAATAATTTAGTACTAAAGCTTATTGCCTCTTCCTGATGCATATATCTATATATCTCACTGTTTTTTTTATTAATGAACTGTTCTGCATAATGTTGTATATATTCAAAATAAAACAATGAAAATTAATAATAAAAAGTAAATGTGAAAAAAGTTGCCTGATCTATAATGGTCATTGGCAAAGGTAACATGCTGATAAAGTCAACTATGCTTAATACGCAAATATAAGTTAAAGTGGTATTGTTATTTGCCCTGAAAAAATTATTCCTTGAAAAATACGATAATAATAATCGATAAGGTGCAATATTCAGGAATGAATTATTATAAATCTTTGATCCATGACTTTTTTTTACAACAAAAATTTGCTAAAGATTTTGGTTCCTTGGTACTCTCTTAAAACTGATTCATTTAAATAGTTCCTGAATAAAACATCTTATATAATGAATTAATACGATGTTTTTTGCTTAAACTACATTATTCAAGAAGCTTTATCTTCATATTATCTATCATTATTAGTAAGAAATTGATAAGCTTGACTGAAATTTTCTCACTGCTCCCTATTTTAATCTTGGATAAATAAAAATAATGATAAATAACAAAAATAATGAAGGTCTTAAAAAGATATAAATTCATCCTTGATTTTTTTTATAGGAGCACTTTCCACTGTTGCTCGCCCTACTGGTTTGTTGGGGTAATAGGATATTTTGCCAAGAAATTCTTGCCATATAAGTACAGGTAAGTGATTTACCAGCGTCAGCACGATATTTGGAGAAGTATTTCTGCCGGACATAGAATCTCAATACCGGCATTCCAAACTAAACAACAACTCACTGAACCCTTCTACCTTCATTTGCTTTCGCCATTTGGTGGCATTGTCGCTCGCGAAGCGTGGTGCGTCGGCCGGATTCAAATTCGAGTCATTCGGTGGCAAATTTCGCCGCTAAGTGACCCGATTCACCTGTATTGATCAATGCCTTTGTCTATTTATTTGATATAAAAGAGTCTATTACTTACTATGTATTATTTCGTTTTGGATCAATGTTAATACAAATTTCTGATTTCTCACGGTATTAGGGACCCTATCTCTGCTTTTATTCCTAGATGAATTTCCACCAAAAGGATTTCATTCTAGTAGAAAACCAAAAGCAATGAATTAGGAGATGAAAAAATTTCTGATTACGAGAAATTGTTCGGTCGAAAAATTTATCGAATCCTTTTGAAGGCTTTTGTGAATATAACATGGGTAGTCGCATATTTGAATTCTGAATTCATCGTTAGATAATAAGCTAACCTGCAATCGACGCTTCGAACATGATGAAGAACAGCTAATATGGCTGCATTACCACACGTTCCAAATATGAATAAAAAAGCATAAAAAGCAGCAATACTCATCAGACTATTGTCGTCATGATTAGAGAAAGGTAGCACAAAATTCAACTTAACTTGCTGAAAAATTATTAAAAATTGTGCTAATTGCTGGCAGGCCATATCAAATTTTTTATTGCCTTTTATTCTTATTTTATTAATCATTTATCTTTTATCATTATTATTAATGTTATAATTAAAATTAAAAGTTAAAGTTTTTGCTAAGTTTCTGCTTGAAAATGTCCAAATTATTACATTAGTTTATATTTTATTTTTATAGGCTACTAGGAATTTTCATCTATTGCATTAGTTTCAATCATTTTTAATTCGGAATATTAACAGATCATAGCATTTATTTTTGCTTGATTACTTGCTTATCATTATCATTAATTCGTTGCACTCATTTAATTTTTCATAAAACTGCTTTTCTTCTATTGAAGCATTTTTTGACAATGATAATTAATTAATAATAATAATTATTAATATTCAATTGGTTCAGGGAAATAAAAATATGAATAAAAATATTGAATTGATTTATTCTTTAAATAATCTAGGTACATCTATTTAATCCAGATAGATTTCGTCTGCATACAAAAAAATCAATTTTTTAAAATTTTTGTGAAATTTTCTCTTCAAGAAGAACCAGGCCTTGAGAAATTAATGCTTGCGAGAAAATTTTTCACATTAAATCTTCTTACTGAAAAAAAATCGATCAAAAAAAGGGATAATTGTAAATTGCCAATTGAGAATATTTGAACGAATCAAACCCATTTTTAATGAAAATCTGGGGAAAATTCGCCATCTCGATCCAACAAATATAAATTTTTCATGGTTTTTCAATTAAGATATGAGATTGAAGTTTCAACTTTTCACATTAATTTGGCCAGAAAATTCCGCTAGTGGATTTACACTAAGAATAATCCGAAAATCAAAATTTCAAAGACTAATTGATTACATTTTAATTACTGTCCATATACCCGGCAGTTTTTTTAAATTTACTACTGCAATTTAATTTTTTTCAGCTTTTTTCTATTATACTTCTAATTATTTAATCTCAACGATTTTTTATGTTTTCTTAGCAAATTTAGCGCCTAAATTTTTGAATCAAGTAATCTTCACATATTATTATTTATATTATCAACCATTTTTTTTATAAATTTTATTTTATATTGCCGTATATATTTGAAAAAGTGCATTGATAGTTTCGTGATTTCGACGCAGTTTTCGCCATGGGAATAGTCTAATAGGAATTTATATATATATATATATATATAAAAATAAAAAACTACGAGAAAAGAAGAAAAAAGTATGAAATTTGTAGTTTACCTTATCATATTGGTTAATTAGTTGTTTAGTTATGTTGTCATCTTCAATTAGCGCCATGTTGACAATTCAGCATAATTAAGAGCGAAAACAGAAAATAAAGAATTCTTTTAATATATTGGCTTAAAAACATATAATATGGCAAAGTTGACAAATAAAGCGATGCAAACAGCTTAAATTATTTGGTAGTAGAATTATGTGGGTGAAATTAAATTAATCAAAAATATGTTTGAGGAACAACAAAGAAAAATCGGAAGGATAAGCAATAAAATTTGAAAAAGCTAAATTCGGCTTCACTTATTTTTAAGTCTTTCTCAAACATTTTTTAAAATGTTTTAAAATTAATGAATTTAGCTTTAGTTTAAATTGAATAAATACGAAATTTGCAGGCGATAAGCCTATTTTCTGTTCGTTTCTGGATGATTTATGCTATATCATTGGACTTAATCAAAAAATCTATTTTTTTTACCTACGAACTTGTTAATTATTTCTGCCATTTAAAAAAAAGTATCAAAACAAAAAAAAAGTATAAAAAAGTATCAAAAGTATCAAAAAGGTTAAAAATTCTAAAACTAATTTTAGAATTTAGAATTTAGAGTTTTAGCGCTTTTTCCCATAACTTTTCAATACTTTTCAAATATTTTTTCAGATATAAACGGAAAAAATTTTATCAAGCCTAGCATTCGAAGAAAACAAATAAAACCAGAAAAAAAACTGGAACAGTAAGAAAGTTATTTTTTCTGGAAATGATCAAATCAGCGGATATTGCCTGGCGCATTACCTAAGGGCATTATTAAAATACGAACTAAAGAATCCCATATTCATTAATCTGAACTTACTGTTTCAGTTTGTATACATGAATTAATCGCAGAAAGTAAAATTCAGAATATGCAAATGCTGATTTAATTAAATATATGTAGTGCCAATTTATTTATAAAGTTCCACCTAATTTTATTAACCTTCCAAAAATTAAAGTCTATTTTTTTTACGACTACGGCCAGATTCCTTTTAAAAAATCATTTTATAAGTAAATAGGTGGTCAGAATATTATTTTTGGTTAATCTCTTTCCAATAGCTATTGGTAGGACGAAAATTGTCGCCAAGATGTCTTCGATAGAAATGCAGATAAGTCGCCAGCATTATCCAGATTTATATCATGACATATACTATTTAACGAAATATCATATAACTAAAGACGGTTCTATTTTTCACACTTCTTTTTCGCCGAATGAGATCAAATGACGTCAATATAGATTTTTTAATATTTTTTCGCGATTGTTTTAGCAGCTGGATTGCACTGCTTATATTTATCGGGATCATTCGCTTAAATATAAAAAGGAAATATAACTGCATAAAAATTAATTATTATATTATTATCAATTATATTATATCATTATAGTTCATCCCATCTAAGAATTTTTTGAAAAAATAGCAAATTTCTAAAAATTCTTGCAGATTTCGCAATTCTGCAATTTGAAAATTATAAAAAATTCGAATTCTGAATTTGTGGACATCGCAATAAAATTAATAAATTATAACTATAATAAATTAAAAAATATAGCAGCTATAAGCAATTTTTGCAAGTCGCGAAATTTCTGAATTCTGGAATTCACAATAAGTTGAGCATATATAATAACTATGAACAATTTTTTAATGAGGTCGCAAATATGACTTCGATAATAAGAATTTTGATGAAGACGAAATTTTATCCATTTTTTGCTACACGTTTCATTAATTTTAAAGTTGATGGTTTTAGGGAATTGAGGAGACTGAATGCTTTTTGTCTTGAGAAAAGCAGTTCTCAATTTCCAAAAAAAAATTAATAATGCAAACTCTTGAATTTACATTTGTTCTCAAGGATTCGCTGATCTGGAATATATTCTCCTATTTGCTGAGACAAAAAAAGATAACAATACTTCTGATGTTAAAAAATGCCGCACTGATATTAATTGCCAGTCTATTAGCGCTTTATGCAATTCACTATCGACTTATTAAATCTCGTACAGTGAGAGTAAAGAAAGAAAATGATAGAACATTAGATCGTGATTCTAATGTTTATTCAACATAGGTTCGATTTCTTTCTTCTTCCACAGGAATCTTCCAGTAAAAATGAAATCCTAGTGGCATAAGAGATTCACTCGCATCGGTAGCGATGCCAGTAATTCTACGATGATATTTCGTCTCAACCGATAAAAATAGTGAATGTGAGGAAGAGAAAGAAGTTAAAATGGATAGATCCATAAAAACGGTTCAACGAGATTTGGTTGCCCTATTAGGGGAATCAGTCTTAATTCAACGACAGATTTGTTGGAATGGGAAGCATAAAAGAAATAATAAGACAATTATTAATGCAAACGCTCGAATCTAGCTTCGATCAATCATTTAAAAAAAAAATTGTTTCTTTTAATCCTTTAGTATAAATTTTGAGTTAAGCTTTCGCACTTCAAAGGGAATTTAATCCCTCAAAAAAAATCTAACCTTCAAATAATAATCCAAAATTATATTTTTTTTTAACCATTAACACCATTAAGTTTGCGTTTTCTCACGCGTTTCAACGTTTCAATTTTGTTCTCAGTTGATCAAATTTACTGACAGTAAACGGAATAAAAATATCAAAATGCAAAAATTTGCGTATAAACGAAGAAAAAAAGCGGTCTGCAAATTGTTCATTTTGGGAAAATTATTTGGTAAATTCGATCTTCTGAATTTCAAATAATTCGTTTCACAGTTGGAAATTTTCCTTCCTATTTACTTTTCAGGTTTTTTCAGGCTTCTAGGCTAGTTCATTTAGCCGATAAATCAAGATTAACTGAATTAATGCTTTCGATGAACGAAGCTAATTTAATGATAGCTTAAAAAAAAGACAGCTTCAACGACTTTTCTCAATTTTCAAGGAAAACTTGGCTTCCAAGAGATTTTAAAACATTGAATGAATATTAAAGAATTTTTAATGTTGAACATCTTTTCATTTAATATCTCACTGCTGATCAGATTATCACTGCTGATTTTAAGATCTTGACAGACTTATTAATAGACGGTTTAACAATAACAATAGATTTTTGGACTTGATAAAATCGAAGGCTAATCAAAACATGCCAACCATTAATATTATCATAAATGAATAACCATAAATGAATAACGACTAAACTACTGCAAATAATTCGAAATCCATCATTAAAAAAGCAAATAAACCGGGCTGTAAAGGAATATTAATTCTTTCGATTAGATTAAAATAAATTAAATCTGAAGTATTCAAGGAATATGATCATTGAATTATTGTAAGCAATTCCCTAAAATCGCCATTTAAAACTATTGAAATTGCAATGTTTTTATGAAAATCTTCATATTATATCAATCAAAATATTATTCTTTCTTATGAAACCATCTAAATATTTGCACGATAAATTTAAAGCAAATTAAGTAAATTTCAGTAAACTCTTGCTCATGCGATTTTCTCTTGTAACGAATCAAATGATATATGATTAATGCTCACCCATTCCAACTCGCTATAGAAATACTTAGGCCATCCGGGTTTTCAATGGCAGCAAACATGAATCAAGATGTGATTTTCAACACGATCATGAAAGTTAATAACCCCTTGGCTAGCGTAGCAGTCGAATTACTTTGATATTAATTGAAATTGAAGTATTCTAGACATTTGTGATTCTAATATAAAGACAAGTGATGTTATGCACCATTTATTTCCATAATTCCATAAACTGAAGCAGATCTGAGATAGAGAAAAGGTTCATAGTATCGAAAATAGCTCATTCGCTTTGAGTTAAAAAAAGAAGGTGCCGAGATTACTCTAAAGTACCATAACTTAATAAATGATAAAATAT